CACTGGGAGGCAGCACATGATTTCAGTAACAGCTTAACCCCCACCTTCCAGCCCCCCCCCCCGCCCCCGTCGCCAAAAAAAGACACACTTAAATGATACCATTACAAATATATACAAGGAAGCGATGATATTCGGACCTTTAAATCTACTACTATAATGCCTCTAAAGCCAGTTATGCATTCAATATTATCTCCTCCTTCAGCTTCAAAACATCTAGGTATAATAATAATAACATTGAAAATGTCTGGAAATGAGTTCTCAATAATAATTACATGCTATTGTGGCTGATGAGAATTAACTGAAATTATTGTTACCATCTCTAACTGTCATTACAAAAAGATATGCCTTGTGTTTATCTATGTAATCCAAAGACTGGTCAGCAAGCAAATTTGCAGGATGTTTTTAAGAAAAAAATAAATTTCATTAAAAAGTAATTATGTTCTAACTTCTTAACTAATTTTTTTGCCTTTTTCCTGCAAAGAATCAGAATTGGATTAGCATGGTGCATTTCCAGTGTCAGTCAGGTACACAAAAGGAGGATTACTTTTGTCATTTTGGACCAGTTTCATGCAGCTACTTCTGTATGCAGGCTGTCTGTCCTCAGCAATAGCTCATGTGGTTCCAGATATTCACTGAATTTTTCATTGAGTTAAGAGTGGTTACTCTTCCATCTGCAATAATATTATTTAATTTGCTAAGTGTTCTCACCAGTGGTTTACTCCAGGCTTTCTTTTATTACATTATTTTTCTATCTTTCTTTCTAAAACTTTATAACTCTCTGGGACACATTTTACCAACTGAATTTTTTCTCCATAAATGCCAACAAGCTGGTAAAACACGTAGACAGCAAGAACAGTTTTTATATTTAAAAAATAAAACTATAGCATTCACTTTGCAATGAGATCACATGTCTAGAAGTGTTGTCATTGTAAACTAGGGAAAGTCTGATGATAGACAACTGAAGCCCATCCATTTGTAATGTTCTGACGTATATCCCAAAAATGTATTGTGCCAGGTACACAGCACTGGTAATTAAATTATAAATTTACTTTTTTGGTATCTCATATATTTATCTTTAAAGATTTCAAAAGATGTGAGTGAATCTGTTTATCAAGAGAAAATATGCCCAAGGTTTTCTAAACCAGCATTCTGAACTGATATTGACAATTCCCCAATTTTAAAAGATAGAAACAGTTTTATCTCTAAAAATATACCAAGCCCATGTTCTGGCTTAATGTTATTTTCCCATACTGCAAGCATTTTAAATATTTTCTCTCTTCCTTTTGTCTTTTCTCAAGGACTAAATATCTTCTTTTTTCTATTCAACTTTTTCTCTTTTTTCTCTCTCTCTTTTTCTAACCCATTTCATTCTAATGTAGGAACTATCAGATCTCAGATTTTTATAACACCATAAATACAGGTTTTAAAAAGTAAACTTTTCCTACAACTTTTCAGAAAGTTATAGTCTTACTTGATACACAGTCAGCTTTCTAAGGCACAGAAAGCAATAGACTAAATGTTTTCCCTCTGCATAATAAGAACTTCCAGGTTTCACTAGCCTGTGGGAGCTAAATGACAAGAATTCACGAACACAAAGAGGGGAACAACAAACACTGGGGCCTACATGTGGGCTGAGGGTGGGAGGAGGGAGAGGAGCAGAAAAGATAACTACTGAGCACTGGGCTTAATACCTGGATGATGAAATAATCTGTACAACGAACCCCCGTGACATGAGTTCACCTATGTAACAGACCTTCACATGTACCCCCTAACCTAAAATAATAGTTTTTTTAAAAAAAAGAATTACCAGATTTTCAGTAAAATATTGCAAATTTACTTCTCGAAGCCCTAGTTCCTTTCTAAAACTAATTCCAATTTTTATGAGGTTTTTTCGGTTTTTGTTTTGTTTTTTGAGACAGAGACTTGCTCCGTTGCCCAGGCTGGATGGAGTACAGTGACATGATCTTGGCTTACTGCATCCTCCACCTTCTGGGTCCAAGCAATTCTTATGCCTCAGCCTCCCAAGTACCTGGGATTTCAGGTGTGCACCACCACACCTGGCTCATTTTTTAAAATACATTTTTAGTAGAGATGGGGTTTTGCCATGTTACCTAGTCAGGCCTTGAACTCCTGGCCTCAAGTGATCTGCCCACCTCGACCTCCCAAAATCCTGGGATTACAGGTGTGAGCCACCTCTGCCACCCCCAAGTTTTAAATTTATTGATTATTTGTAGCATCCGACTTCCAGGTAGCAAACTCTGTATTAGCACTGCTGCTTATAATAATAAGCGTTAGTTTAAACAAAATAGAAATTTATTTCTCTCTTACATAAAATAAGTCTGGAGAGAGGAAGTCCAGAGGCTTCTGTCTTTCTTATCTGTAATCCACAAGGCCATCTCAAGACCCAAGATAGTGCTGAGCTCTGGGACATCCACATTCCAGTCACCAAGACGGGGGAAAACAGGCTCCTATCGGCTACATTAGTTCTTTAGAGGCACCGCTCAGAATTTTCACAAAACAGTTCCACTTACTTCTTATTAACTCATAAGCCACATAGGCCACAATAGCACAAAAAGAGACTGAGAATTTGTCTTTAGTCTGCACAGGAGTATTCATACAAATGTAGCATTCTATTACTAAGGAAGAAGGAGAGAACAACATTAGAAAGTAAATAGGAGTCCCTGACTCAATGTTTGTTGTAATTTTCTTTATTATAGCAGAATATTGGAAACACCCTAAAAGGCACGGAGTATAAATGGTTAAATGAAATCCAGAATGTGCATATATTAAGTATTGGCTTGATATTTAAAGTATTGTTTGCCATTTATTGACATGGAAAGTTATTCATGATACGTTTTAAATTTTTTAAAAAGCATCTATAATATGATCCTATATGTAAAATCAAATGTCTGAACTGATTTTCTTAATGTTAACAGGGGTTAAACACTGGGGTTGGTAATTTTTGTGTAATTTTACTTTCTTCTCTATGCTTTTCTGTATGGTTTGAATTTTTTTAAATGAGCATGTACTGTTTACATGATGACTGTGGAAATAAAAGGGCACTGAACAAATTCATCATCATAACTCAAAAAAAGTCAATCTGCAAAACTTTCTATTTGCACACCAATCTTCAACCAGTGGAGTTCTTAAGCTGCCCTTATGACACTTACCAATTTCATAAGGATAATAATAGTAAGTGCACTAATTGTCAACCTTTCGTAATTGATAGTGAAGACAGTTTATAAAAATCCTGATTTGCTTTTTTGTCTTGGACTTTTCACCCAGCTAATTTGGGTTTTGCACAACCTCTTCTTCTCCATGAATTTTTAATATGGTGTTCACTAGAAAAGAAATTGAGTTTTTATGAATACCTTCTGCAGGTTTGCACAAGTAAGTTTTCATTGCAGTGGTTAATTATTTCAGGTAGTCATTGCCCGTCTTCATTCTGTCAGTTATAATCATCCGTGGGACTTTGTCACTGAGAGGTAAACAGGACATTTGAAATCTGTCTCCCTTTTATACATGTATATTAAGCCCTTTGTCTTGTTCCCTTTATCTCTGAAATGGGTAGAACAATGAATATTTTACTTACCTCACTGGGTATTGTGAAGGTAAAATGAGATAATTTATGGGAAATGTTTTACAAAGTTAAAAGTAGCCTATATAGTAATGGGGCAGACTGGCTTATCTTGGAATCAAAGGGTTTATGTAACATTGAATACTTTAAGCAGCAGTTATCATCTTCGGTATTATCCACAACACCTGCAGCCAGTGTGGCCAAACAGGTTGGCTGCTATTTCAAAGGGCAGCATTAAATTGAGGAACGCAGGTGTTATAAGAATAAAGACTAAGTCACTCATCTAGAAATCCATCATGAAAAAACAGCCAGAATTTCTTCCATTATTTTCTTGGGCTGCTAATTTATCATGTAAGTTGTATTGCATTAAAAGGTTTTTAAAAATAGAGTATCTGTGATTTTCTTAAAATATCAATTTGCAAGAAGTTCATTAATTCCTAACAGCATAGAACTAAGTATTTTAAATTCCTTGGAGAGAAAAAATATCTCCAAAGATTAAGAGCAAATATCTCTTTTTTATTTAATTAAAGCAAAAACATAGCCTGCTTAGGAAGAAAGTGGTCACTCTGAACACACACACACACACACACACACACACACACACACACACGCTATTATAGCCTCCCCTTTGAAATGACATCTGTCTTAACGTTCATTTTCACAGGTGGAGAAAATTGAGGGTGCAGCATTCTGAGACTGTCATTAGTTACAGCTGAATTTCCTCTGAACTAAATTGAATTAAGTAGTGCTGGAGAGGCACTGGGAGCTCCTCTTTGCGTGGGTCTCCTGTTTAGCACCAGGATAAACTCATATTGCCTTGATAATGAAAACAAAACCCTTTTTTAATGTTGAAAAGGGCAACTGATGCTTATTAATTTGTGATGGTTTTGGTAAATTGCGGTTTCCTTTACCACGTAGACAAGTCTCTCATTTTTCTTTTTTTTATACTAAAGGGATTTTGTGAACTACACATAATAGTGAACTCTTTATAATACCCCACATATATACAGAGTTGTTTTCCAACATTTTAAGCTTCCTTATATGACCCCTGTTCGTGAGCTTTGTCTACTTTGAGGAGAGCCTTTGTGTCAGTGGTGGAGACTCGACTGGCAATGGATTTTGAAGTATGTACTGTTACCCCATACGCATACATCAACCCAGGATCACTTTCTGGATAATCTGATGATCTGGGTAACTGCCCTGGGCTTCAGCCATCACACTGAGACCTGCTCCAAATAACCCCTCTGCATTTTAATATTTCCATCTCTAAAATGTTTTAGCTTTTTAGTATATCACTGGGACATTTACATAGGACTTACTTGGAATTTTCTGAGAAAACTTTCTTTGTAACATTGTAGCTTAAAGCAATATTGTATTTTGTTGTTATAGTAATGATGAAAATTGATTTTCTCCCTGTTTTTAGCTCTATGAGTACTGTGTCTTATATGGATGAACCCGGTCAGCGTGATGATATCTCTCGCCTCACAGTTCGGATGGAAAACACCTATCAGTTGGGTGTGTTCTTTTATCTCTTATCCCTGTTTTAAACTTCTAATTTGGTGACTGGCGTTCGTAAAAATGAGATTTAATAACCTGGCATTATCTTCAATTCTAGCACCATATAAGGGACTTTAATTACTTGAGTGATTTGATGCTGCTTTAGTTTATTCCTCAGCAAAAAGGTAGCAACACCCGCCGTCTTCCTTTTCTTTACCAATGTTTCCCAAATGCTAAGCAATTCACTGGGTGGCACTGACTGATGTATACAGTATACTACCAACTTAATAAATTCACTGAGTATTTCTGGTGCATCGATAAAGAGATATGATTTAAATGAAAGAGATAAGTATTGATGTTTTATCCAACCAAACCAGTCAGTGTTGCTAATAGATAAAGGTGGGGAAGAAAACCTCAAAGCAAAGGCAAATGACTCATAGTCCCCTGTTGACAGAGATGTTTATCCATTACCACTGAGGTTTTGAGTCTTTGAAAACAAAGATCTTTGCACCTGCCCCTGTACTCCCAGGTGGAGTCCATGGCAAATATCTTTTCCCATCCACGTTTCCTCACAGACCCACTTGTTTTCTCTAAACGCATACCTGCTCACTATTATCTGAATTCATATATAATTACTGCTATATAGAAGTTCCACAGAGATTTACCAAGGGGCAAAGGAAGACTCTGTGGGCCAACATGATTCCATCTGTGCCCAGTTAACCCCAAGAAAATTATAGACCATCAGCATGTCCCCTTCGGCCTTGTAGCTGCTGGGTTTCTACGTAATCCCCAAGACTACATGGATTACATGGCTCCATAATTAGTCAATCTAGTGGTATTTTCACAGTGCCTGTTGTGGACTGCTAATATTCCTGCCATTCAATATACTTTTATACCTCTCTGGTAACCCTACTAAATTTCCTTTGAAATTCCACCATCATCACCACTTTTGATCCCAACATTCTGCTGAAGCTGGCACTGGCTTTATAGATAGAGCAATGACTGATTCTAGGATGGCATGTAACCACAGTCCATCCAATCAAAGCCTCCGAGATTAAATTCAGGAAATATTGTTTGGACTGTTGCAGAGGAACATAAAGCCCTGAAACCTGAACAAATGTAGGGGTTACGGCAGCATCTGCCATCTTGCCCTGACTTGAAACAGAGAGAACAACAGAATCCTGATGTCATCATTTGAGCTCTAAATTCAGTTGGCTACCCTTAAACTTTTCAGTTAGGCAAGCTAAGTTTGGGTCAGATTTTCCGTCACTTGCAACTAAAAGTTCATAGCCATAGGGTGTCCATTACTTTGAGCTGTGCATGCTGAAAGCGTTTGAATCAGATTTCAACAAGATAAGGCAGGTAAAATGCAAATCCCTGTGTTTCTTCATAAAGGTATTTTTTTGCAACTTGTTTTCTCAAATAAACAAAATAAAGCATCTTATCAGTTTTAGCACTGAGTATGAATCACATTAGAAAAGTAATTTTAAGATGGCTCTGTCTTGAAAGATGACATTTAATATTGGCAGTGACATTTCAGCCAAATTCCTTCAACTGAGTTTATGAATCACATTTTTTTCTAGATTAATAAATTGCTTATAAAAAAAAGAAAAGTAATTTTAGAAAAAGCTTAGTATGGATGAAATATATCCACATTTTCTTACAATAGTCTATGTGAATTTTTATATAATTAAAGTATTTTATGCTTGACAATTCACTTTTATTCATCCAGCCATTTTACTAATGCTTAATACTATATTTCCACTTCTACTTGTTTCTGGGTTTGTTTCACATATGAAAGGTACTTTGTGCGTATATTAAACCATTTTGCATTGCTGTAAAGAAGTGCTCCCTGAGACTGGTAATTTATAAAGAAAAGAGGTTTATTTGGCTCATGGTTCTAGAGACTGTACAGGAAGCTTGGTGCCAATATCTGCTTCTGGTAAGACCTCAGTAAATTTTTAGGCATGGCAGAAAGGAAGGAGATTTAGCATGTCATATGGCAAGATAGAGAACAAGAGAGGTGCCAGGCTCTTTTAAACATTCAGCTCTCATGCGAACTAACAGGGGGAGAGCTACAGATCAAGAACTCAGTAATTACCACTGGGACAGCACCAAGCCATTCATGCGGGATCCCCCCCCATGGCCCCAACACCTCTCACCAGGCCCCACCTCCAATACTGGGGATCACATTTCAATATGAGATTTCAAGGGGACAAATATCCAAAGTATATCAGTGGGCCTTTGGCAAAGGGTTTATCATATCTTTACAATGTAATACTGGCCAGAAACATAGAGAAAAATATCAGCCAATCACCACCGCTATTATGTTTAATTAATTTTTCCTTCTGTTCAATAATGTTTGCATCATCTAAACACATCTTAGATGAGAGCATTTGTGCAATTACAGCTACAAAAAATGAGATGAAACATGAGTATAATTTACAAGAGAAAAAAGGGAGTAGAAAAGGAATATTAAAGTTTCTTATAATAAAATACCATTTACATATTTCTCGTTAATTACTAAAAGGAGTATAGAAGAAAATGCAAGCTGTGGCATCTGTCATATCTGAATTTGAATACTAATTTTGCTAATTCCTGGGTAAAGGATGTTTGAGCAAGGTATTTAGCATCACTGAATCTCAGTGGCTTCACTTGTAAATAGGGATAATAGTCTATATATCACAGGGATGCTGTGGGACTCAAATGAAATAATATGTTTAAATCTCTCCATTCATCGTGTTACTGCTCCTGAAAATGGCTGACTATAGGACCTTACTATAGATCACTAAGAATAAAGCCTTCCATTATAGCCATTGTAACTTCATATTAATTATGGAATAAGCTTTCCACAAGACTTGTTCTGGAACTATGATTAAAGTGGCATCTGGTTGTTTATAAACATGGATTGTGAGGACCAGGCCAGACTAGAACTATTGGTGGCTGTCTTTGCTACCACAAGATAGCCTGCCTTGAGAATGAAGCCAGCACTACAGAAAGTAGATCCAAAATATTGATAGAGAAAGAGAGAGATCACATGCGTTTAGCTTCCATGAAGTGCTCAGAGAGCCCTGCCTGTATGTCAGGTTTTCTTAGACAGACCCTGTCAATCTCAGCATCGATTTTGTACCACCCCATGGGGTCCTTCCCAACCCTGCAGTCCTCACTGGCTCCCTACTTACGTCCTCTTCCATCTTTCTGCCTTCTCAGAAAGGTAAATTGAATTTCTTCCTTCAGCATGCAATAACTACAATAACAGCAATAACACTAATAAGATCACATATCTAAGGAGTGTTTTATCGTGAGGCAAGCACTGTTCTAAACATATTCAATATATTGTCTCATTTAATTCTAACAAAAAATATGTAGTAATTCTTATTATTACCCCAATTTGGGGTAGTGGAGGGGCACATACATTATGTAACCTTATCTTTATCCTCTGTTAAATGTTTTGTTTTTTTTTTTGTCTTGATTCTTCTGGTCTTTGCTTTTTGATTTCTAAAACATATTTTTTCTCCTAAGGAAAAAACAAAAATCCCAAAAGGGAAGAAAAGCTTTGCCATTCACATCAGTTGACTCTGAAAGTAGTTGTAGGAGCTTATTACAGAAATCAGGAGCTGAACACTGTTGGATAATTCTGGATGTTTAGGGGAAAGGTAACAAAGAAGTAAGAAAAGAATAGTTCATTACCATATTTCAAAATATTTTCAAAACAGAATCAGGTTAATGACTTTTTATTAATCTAAGTAAAGTGTGAAAAGGACATTGGTAGCATTATACAGTGAGAACTACTGGAAGCAGATTCAAGTGCCACCAGGACCTCTTTCCAGCACTGATCCGTGTGCACTTCCTTCTCTTTTGGTGGCCTGGCCTCCTTTCCACCATGAAAAACATGGCCTCCAGCAGGTCCTAAGAGTCACATGGTAAATTTGCCACCAGAAAAAGGCTGACTTTTTTTTTCCTACTTGCAATTTAAAATAAGAATTCCAAGAAAAGACTCTCATTGTCCTGGCCCAGAGCATTGTCACCCCTGGGTCAAAGACCAGTGCCCTGGGCTTGGGCTCGCAGGAGGTGATGGGAGACAGTTAAGAACTACTTTACCTTCCCAGATTCATTCCCCACCCCACCCTGCCACAATTTAAAGGGAATTCAACAATTTCTATATGATCATCAAAATGGAGCCTCAAGAGGCTCACCTAACTGAAGTGCAGCCAGAGGCTGTAACCTTCTGGTTAAGTACAGCCAGTGGGAAACCTCAGCAGAGCAGCAGAGGGAGAGAGGAGTGTGAGGGGACTGTTTCTTTCCCTGGCTCCTGCCTGTGGGTTCATCACAGCCTGGTTACATTCCTCAACCAAAGGACGAAGCTAATCCCAAGGGACCCCTCTCCACATGACCCTTCTGGGATCTATTAAAAGTTTCCCTCTATTCCCCAGTCTGGGGTGGGAGACAGGCTGACAACCTTACTTTCACTGGCGGAGGGGCACGGCACTATCCCTTGTGATTTTCTCCATCCCACTCAGAACTTCCTCCTGGAATTATTTTAACTTTAGGGCACCATATGTTTCCTTTAACCTTGATAGATACAGTCGTCACAAACAAAGACTTATTAATAGATATTGATGACCATCAAAAGAGAATTGAATAGAATTCTTGATCTCACTCCATCTTTATCAATTCCTCAAATAGTGATTGATCCTCTGCATGCCAGGCCCTGGGCACATGTGCATGTTGTATAGTGACATTAGGTATGACCAAAGAGTTGATATGGCTGATATTACTGGGATGCAGGTTAAAGAAGATTCATCCAAAGCTTCTGCTCTGAACGTGGATGAAATGTGGTTGAGAATATAAGCTGTAGCATCAGATAAACCTGGGTGTGCAGCCCAGCTCTGCCTGTGTGTGTGATTCTGGGCAGGTTACTCAATGTATTTAAATCTCTGTTTCCCTACCTGCCAAGTGGAGATAACAGTAAGATTCATCTCGGAAATCTATTCGAAGACTGTATAAGGTAATAAATATGAAGTGCTTATCACACTGCCTGACATGACGCAAAAGCTTAATAAAAAGTATTCATTATTGTATATGTATACAATATACAATCATACATCTTATATAATGATTATTATCTATAACATTTTTAATTCTTTTTAAATTCAGAAATCATACATTAAAAATTTCTTATGCCTTTAGCATTGTGTTAGACTCTGAGGAAGATAAAATCCGAGCTTGCTTACCATTTCACTGGAAATGCAGGTATGCTTTAGCCGATATCAAATAGATTAGGAGCCAGATGGCAGTGGGGACCCATCGCAAGGAAAGGAGGGGGAAAAGAGGGGACATTGTCCCAAAGGAGGACATTTTTTCCTGAGAGGAGGTCGAGGACTACCTGGAGAAGAAGACATTTGAGACGGCCTTGAAACATGAGTGGCTGTTTCTCAGATGAACAAGATGGGGAAAAGTATTGCATTTGAAAACTAAACAGCAAGAGTAAAGGCAGATGGAGCCTGTGAGGCTGGAGCAGTCCACAAGCGGGGCACTGTGGTAGCAGGAGAGGAGGCTGCAAGGAACCACCCCTTAGGCCTCGCTGAAAGGAATGTCACTTAAGATCTGCTGACAGATCTTAAGATTGGAGGGGGAGATATAAGAGGTAGGGAGCCAGTTAGAAAGCTGTTGAGACTTTGAAGTATGTCCCTAACAATGGATCCTGGGAAGGAAGAGACTTTCAACGTCAAACCCCAGCAGTATTGAATACACTTTTGAGGTAGTCGGGTACGTGTATGAAACTATTGCCTTCTTGTCTTCTCCCAGAGCACCTAACAGGAAGCCTAATTATGGCCACCCAGAAGATTAAATCCCTCCATGTTTCAATATTCTTTTGATTAGCCTGTGGGGTGGGTGGGTGTGTGTGATTTGAAATTATTTTTTAGAAAGAAATTTGATGTATATTTTCAGGTCCTCCCAAGCATTTTCCTGTGGTCACGGTCAATCACATTTTGAAAGATGTGTTAACCAGCTACCTACAAGTAGAAGAATATGAACCAGAGCTCTGTAGACAGATGACTAAAACCATTTCTGAGGTACACGTGTGATTTTCCCACAGTGTTAACAATAGCTAGAATATTTGCTGAAAGCACAATAAACCCTCTACTTTTTGATGAGGGGAATTAATTTGCAGAAAAAGTTATAATGTATATTTAGAATTAGGTCATATTCTACGTATATGAGTGTGTGTGTGTATATATAGCCTTTGTCTAAAACAATCATGTGCATCATTTGCATGCATTATGTAAAAGTGTATAAAACTGCCCCATTTATAAAAGTCTTTATTGCAAAAGATGTAACATTTTAATGATTATTTCCTCTTCACTAAGGCAGCTTATTTGAGTGCCATCAAAAACAGACACTGTGGTCTTTAAGCATGTTTCTATTTTTACCAACCCCAGGGCTGGCACTTCATCAAGGTTTTCTCTGCTTTCTTTCTTATAACAAACGTTTTAATAAACATTAATGATTAGTTATATTACAGGAGACTCCAAATGGTTCCTTAATTAGACATGAACAAGACAGCGTAACTCCAATGCCAACATTCTTTGATGGGAAGCCATCTTAAAGTTTTTCAAAGAACGTAATTTATTAAATTCTGTGTTCTGGATTATAATTATTTCACGTATCTTAGAAGAAGAGGTAGATTTATTGCTGGTGTTATAATTTTGTACCTGAACGTTCTATCTCAAGAGGACCATGCTTGAAGGGAATCACGGTTATGGTTCTACAACAATTACTCAAAGTGTCTATAAAGCATCATGCTATTAATTTAAGTCCCCTATATTTATAACAAAGGTTAATACTTTTGAGTTTCAATGTAGCTAAATGAAGATCCTCCCTTTTTTTAAATTTCTAGGTTATTAAATCCCAGGTCAAGGACTTGATGATTCCACGATATAAGCTAATTGTGATTGTTCACATTGGACAACTGAACAGGCAGAGCATAATTATTGGAAGCAGATGCCTCTGGGATCCTAAAAGTGATACCTTTTCATCTTATGCTTTCAAAAATTCTTCCCTCTTCGCCCTTGCAAATGTCTATGCAGTTTACCTTGAGTGACTGAAAATAAGAAATCTAGTTGTTAGCTTTGAAAATCATGAGGCGGGCTGTATGTCTGTACACGAAAGTTTTACTGCCAAAAACTTTAAGAAAGAAACAACACTGACATTTCAACCAGCTGGAAGGTTTTGAATTTTTTCATATTCTAGTGAAGATTGGGGAAGGAGAGGGTAGCACAGAAATAACCTTATTTATCTAAAGCAGAAACTTGGTCTTGGTTTTGCTGGATTGTTTCCCATGGATACAAATTCTTATTAAATATTTGTTTTGGTACTAATTATTTTAATTATTCTTTAATTAGAGAGTTACAATTTCCTGCATTGTTTTTTAATAAAGAGAAGCTTTAGAAAAACTATGGCTATATACCCTGACCAATAAATGACAGTAGAATATTCAACATGGTATACACAAATGATAAATAATATGCCTTAGTGCTGCATATAAAAGAATCCTGGTTTTCATTTTATACTTAATAAATTGAGCAGCATTCATTAAGTGCAATTATTGTTACATGTACCTGACAGTTGAAACTGCTGAGGCAGAATTAATGGCTTCATAACAAGTATCGTGGTCCCACGGGCTGCAAGCTAAAACTAGAAGCTCTTGTGGCTTGCCTGCACTTTACACAATTGTGGGAGAACTGAGTGTTGGCTCTCCAGTAATGGAAACTATAAAGTGAACAAAGGCTTTTTGGGGCACTGAAGTAGACATTGTGATATTAAATATACATGATACTTAATACTAAATGTGTCTGTAACACATAAAATCATTTATTGGAGAGAGACATTGCTTTTAAATATCCTAGGCTATTAAACTTTTTCACCAAATATATAGCTGGCACCTTAACAAATAAAACATGTGTATTTACCATTTTACTCCTATGAATTTAATACTAAAATGACCCAGTGAGGTTTTGAATAGATGGGCACTAAAATTTACAGGGCTGAAATAGCTTATTATTCTGCTGGTTAATGTATCTTGTGCCACGGATCATTTATTTTTATGAAGCTTTCAAGTCTTTGTGTGCAAGTAAAATGATGCTGTGGTGTTGTTCTTGGAGGGTAAGTGGACTGCCTAAAGGACATTTGTTAAAGGTCAAAGACAAACTGTACACATATGGAGAAAATTAGCAAAGCTGTAGTCTTCAAAAAATGATTTGTCATGTCAAAAAGAGTTTAGCAAATGGAAGCCCAGTCAATGCTTTAATTTTCAAATGTTTTGGTGTCTTACTTTGCCCCAAAATGAAATGTAGTAAAAAAATGGATACTTTTAAAATCCATTTCCTCTTGCTGTTTTCTGGCTTTTAAAGCCAGATTATTCATTTTGATTATTCAAAATGAATTTGTCGATTTTCATTATTTTTTTCCTGTTAGTGCATTCGTGGAAATATGTCTATATCATGATTTATCACAACCAATATTTGTCAATCTCCATAGGCCAGTTTTAAATCTGGGTTAGATTACAAGTATGATAAATAAATGAGCTTCCTATTTTCATTACACATTTGTGAACATCTCCTTTCTTGTAACAACAGCAGGAATAATTTTAAATGAAAAATTTAAAATTTTATATGAATAAATCAAAGTAAACTTCTTTAACACATAGAAAGTCTATTGTAACAATGACTGTTTGTTTTAGAGTTCTAAATTCTAAGCCATGAGATAATATCTTACCATTTTCCCCAAGCTGTGCTGGGAATAAAAACTATAAAAGATGCCTGGGTGTGGTGGATCATGCCTGTAATCCAAGCACTTTGGAGGCCAAGGCGGGTGGATCAACTGAGGTCGGGAGTTCAAGACCAGTCGGACCAACGTGGTGAAACCCTGTCTTTAAAAAAAAAAAAAAAAAAAAAAAAAAAACTATAAAATATAATGGCAGTTAAAAAACAAAAAAGAAAGCAGTTTGCCAGCATATTGCCATGTACTGTAATTCAGATACTCAATGACGAATTCTAGCAATTACATAGCAGTATAGGAATACACAGTAAAAAACTCACTCATTGCAACTAACTTGGGAGAAGCTAGTCATCACACAGAACCTTATCATGAAAAATTTTAAAAGAAGCTATACTATAAGTTTGAAGGAATTATTTTACTTTGAAACACCCTTGATTTCCCTGCTATTTTTTCCTCTCCTAAAGTGCCATCCTTCTTCCCAGACCAGCCATGCCCATCCCTGCCCCAAAGCCTTCATTTATGCTTTCCTGACTTGGAGCACCTACCTCCCACTCAAGCGACTTTCTTCACTTTTTAGGGTCACATTCAGGTCTCACCTTTTCCCTTGGTCTTTCTCTATTCATTGCTTGCCTCCTGCTCTCTCTCTTCTCTAATCATTCTCATGGCTGAGCTCTTGATTGTTCTCTAGCTAACTTTTGATATTAGTTTTGTTTCCCTACTATTAATAGATTGAAGACATTGAGGACATGGACCACATAACTTGACAGTGCCTAGCAATAAAAATTATTTTTACTTTTAAAGTAACCATCATGTGCATTGCACTGTGCTACATAACTCCCAGCTACACAGATAAAGCAAACACAGTTCAACCCCTGAGGAACTAGGATCCTGTAGGGATGAAAAAAGAAGTACACAAGTGACCACAGTATAGGCTCAAATATATTGTCATAAGAAAAGTCCAGAATATCTTTATCCAATTAATAGAATCACTGAAGCCTTCATGAAAAGAAGGAAAATTTAATCTAGACTGTAAAGGAGATAGTAGAATTTCAACAGGCAGAAGAGTACAGGAAGTCTAGACTGGATAAAACAGTGTTTTATCCAGACTTCAGTGTTCATGAAGTTAAGTGGTTAGAACTAAGATTAGAAGGATGCGTTGTGAACATCTGGGTTAGAAAATGAGTAGTCATCAAAGGTTTTTAATTTGACTAACACTGTAAATGAAGTGACACTCTAAGAAGATGAATATGTTGGAAAAGATCAGGAAGACTCACTGGGGGAGGTGAGAGGTAATAGAGGCTGGATGAGACAGTGGCATTTGAAATGGAAAGGAGAGGATGGTTGTATGAGATGCTGTAGGGGCAAGGCCTACAGGAATAGGCCAAGGGAAGGAGGAGTCAGAAGAAACCCTAAGGCAATGTGAAAAGACAGTTGAAAGTTTCGAGCTCTGGATGTTTGCAGACTTAGGTCTGAGTCCTGCTGTCCTGGGCACAAGTTAAGTGACCTCAAGTAAATTACTCATCTCACTAAGCCACAGCTTCTTCATCGTAAAGGAATGATAATACTGGTACCTACCTCATAGGATTTTGGTGAGAATTAAATACATATGTTTGTTAAACTCTTAACATCATAATTCCTGATCTCAGCAAACTGACATAAGAACAGAAAATCAAACACTGCGTGTTCTCACTCATAGGCGGGTGTTGAACAATGAGAGCACATGGACACAGGGAGGGGAGCATCACACACTGGGGTGTGTTGGTGGGGAACAGGGGAGGGACAGCGGGGGGTAGGGAGGTTGGGGAGGGATAACATGGGGAGAAATGCCAGATATAGGTGACAAGGGGATGGAGGCAGCAAACCACATTGCCATGTATGTACCTATCCAACAATCCTGCATGTTCTGCACATGTACCCCAGAACCTAAAGTGCAACAACAACAAAATATATATATATAAAAGAAAAGAAATATATGTGTGTATATATATATATGTATGAAAGACAGCTCTCAATACAGTAGGTCTCATGACTGAAGTTGAATGTTTCAGTATGAGTCACTAGTTCAATAGGTCTATTAACAAAAATAAGGAAGTTAGCAGGAAGAGTTTGAGGAATAAAATGTGAAGTTTGATTTTGCACTTGTTGAATTTAAGCTAATGATGGGATATTAAGATGGGGCTAACCTCCGGCAGCTGAGAACATGGGGCTGGAGCTGAGCCAGGATGTCAAGGTGAGAGATTTAGACTTGGCAGTCATCCAGATTGAGACCTAATATCCTCCTGCTTTATAAAATATTCAGTAGCAGAATCTTCAGCAAGTATAGTGAGTACTAATAGCAAATTACTGAAAACTCAGTTAGCTCTGGGAACATCAGCCAGAAACCACCCCCCAAAATTAATAGGAATTGTTTTTTTTCAAAAACTAAAATTAAATGATGCCTTCTTTTCTTCATTAAAAAAAATTCCTATATGATCTGTTTCTTTTGTCTGACATCATAAGAAATGTAAAGGCTCTCCCAAAAATACATTAACATCTTGAATGGAGGTGTCAGTGCTGTCATCTGCTGCCATTGTTAATAAAACGTCTTTAAAGAAAACACATACTGGGAGGTTCTTCCAAGAGAGTCGAACAGATTACATGTTGGGAAATGAAGTGCTAGTTCAACTCCTTTATTTAAAAACAACAACAGCAACAACAACAACAAAAAACTCTTAAGGAGTGTCCAGTATATGGGAATGATTTTAAAAACAACAATGGTTGAGACATTAGAGCTTGTAAATGTCACCATCCTAGAGAATAAACACGCTCTTTGTTGGGACCATCGTTTGACCTGTGTTTCTAGATGTTACCCAAAAATACGTTAAGAAAACTCAACATCAAATGGTTTTTCATAATTTTCTATGCATTTTGCTCCCAAAATTCTTATCAAGGAGTGGCCTGCGCCCACTACCTCTGATTTTCTCTGACTTCTTTCTATGTTACTTTCACCTTCTGCAATCTAGTTCTCATCCCCGCTAATGTGTTACTTTCACAAGCAGTAAAAGGGGTCCCCCATGCCAATCTGCAAAACACTTCTCCAGCTGCATTCACCTCAGCTGTCTTCTGAATTCATTTCTTTTGAATGGCATTGTAATATAGATGGTTAGGTTTGGGTTGGTTTGGGGTTTTTTCATTTTTAAAGCATAAGTTTGACAAAGATCTCCTTTAGCTGCCAACCCTTACTAGCTGTGTGCGACTTTGGTTTGAGGTGGCTGGTGTCTTGAGCCTCAGTTTCCCCAAAGATAAAGACGATTATGATTACTACTTACGTTCTTGTCACGAAGACTAAAAGGGAAAGTGTGCGTAGAATATCTGACTCACAGTAGATGCTTACACTCAACCTCTAATATTTTCCTGCAGAAACTGTCTTCTAAAAAATTAAGCAGATATTTTTGCAATTTCTGCTCATACCCTAATGTAATAGCCTAGGTTACATTTTTTTCTTTTATCACCTTTAATCATCTGCTGCTGCCTTCTTTGAATGACAATTTCTTCTTCAAGTCCACATTTATTATACAGTCCTATTCATCTCCAAATTAAGCTCCTCATGGCTGATGTCTACCTGTTTTTATATTTGTTTCATTCAGACGTCTTAACTCTCACTTTGGTATTTTCTTGGTTCCTTTGAACATTTTTGCTTAATGCCACCTATTTTATCGTGTTAGCTCCCATTTGAATGTATATGTTCCCCTCTAGTATGTTCTGTTTGTACAGAATAAATATATTAGAAGGTTTATTAAGACAAATATATTATCTGATTAAAGTCTCCCATAATCTCTTCTCAATTTCTTCCCTTGCCAATTTGAGTACACTTTTTTTTTTTTAATTTTAGGGCAGGATATAACTTGAAACTTGTGGTTTTCCACCCACCCACCAGGCTATTTCCCTACCTAGCAAGGCAAGAAACCAGTATAACCAGTACGGGAAGCACTAAGCTTCATTTTACATTTGTGATCAGAAAAGGAGGCATGTTTCCCACAGATGATGATGAGGGTGAATCATCTACCTATTAAAAGGACAGAATATCCAGCCCAATTTGTTTAGGGGTTGCTGGGAAATAGTTCTTTAAATTCCTATGAAAAGTATTAAGCTTAAAGACCCATCATTTCATTTTGAAACTAAAGAAAAATAAACTGTATGTTGTTAATTATATAATTATATTTATTTTTTCCTTCAAGAAAATGTATTCTATAACAAGAACTTAATTTTGGTAGGATAGATGTAATAATTTTTCTCTTTTTTTTTCTTTAGATGGAGTCTCGCTCTGTTGCCAGACCAGAGTGTTGTGGTACATCTCTGCTCACTGCAAACTAGGACTGCCGGATTCAAGCGATTCTTCTGCCTCAGCCTCACAAGTAGCTGGGATTACAGGCATGCACCACCACGCCCAGCTAATTTTTGTATTTTTAGTAGAGATGCGGTTTTACCATGTTGGCCAGGATGGTCTCGATCTCTTGACCTCATGATCCACCCTCCTCGGCCTCCCAAAGTGCTGGGATTACAGGCGTGAGCCACTGCGCCTGGCCAGTGTAATAATTTGCCTTAAAAATATAGGTAAAT